TCCCCATACTGATGCTCGGTTTGAACTGCAGGAGATTGTCTTGACCATGTCTACATGCCTAAATGCACTGAGTTGCCGCCACGTGATTGGCTGATTAGAAATTAAGTYTTAACGAGCAGACAGGTGTACCTAATAAAGTGGCCGGTGAGTGTATATGCCTGTTGTCACTGACACAAACCATTAGGAAAAGTTTTAAAACACTGTTCTACAGRACTTCAAAGAATTAAAAAACAAAATTATTTCAGGCAGTTTATACAAAACTGATTTGCATGATAGTTACAACAAGTTCAGTCAAATCTCATTTGGATGCCATGCCTTAAGGCTCAAGGTAATGRGGTGTGTTGTCATTGGTTCCCATCTGTTTGAAATCACAATGTATTTACTTATGTTCAGCTGCAAAGTTACTTAATAGCCATCAATCATTTTTATTCCAGAAACAGCTGACAAACTTGCGTAATCCACAAAAGACTAAAAAAATAAAACCCGAGAAAGTAAAGAAGTAATAATTATCTAAAAACACTAACATTTTCATTAAAAGTAAAGTGTACAGTATTGTTAGCATCACTCATCATTGATCAGCTGTTTCATCTTTGGCACTTTAAATGCCTCCCTGGTACAAACAGCATACAAGCGAAACAGTATCTAAAACAAGCTAGTTTCGTGTGTTGGTTTACCTGAACTGCAGTGGCGTGGTCTGCAACAGGAGCTAGTTGAACGTACTGCACTTGGATGTCAGGTGGAAGGGAGGAGCTCTCCACCGCTGTGGTTGCTCCATCAGCTGAGGCAACAGCTATCAGCTGAGCTCCACGTAGTACCTAGGACAGTGAAAAATAAAGCAGACCGTCAAACGTGCCTTAGTTAAACCACAAGACCTTTGACAAAGCTTTTTTYTAATTCTGATGATTTGCAAGGTTCTTCCAGGGTAGTCATAAACTGTTCCCTGGATTTTTGTGACTGTGTGACCTCCATACTGACTARGTGTGCCATGATAAACTTCCCATTCAAGAAGTGGTGCCAAAGGCGAAACAGACAAGAAAAACTGAAAGTACAACCACAAGAGGATTAAGAAAAACAACCTTATTTTTTAAGACAAAAGGAGCAAAGACATCCACTGGTACGCACAATTAATRTATCAGGGGAACACAAATGGTGTCATATTCCTGGAAAGACGTCACTCTACTTTTCCTCTGAATAGACAATTAAGAAACTAGATTGTTAACAGATTATCATCACCAATAATCACTGTATCATTTCATCTGATTAGGGCATACAGATACAAATGTAGAMGCATTTAATTTGTTGTCCTGACTGAAAACAATTAGCTTCACAKTATGGAAAGGTGTCATGTGTCTAAACAACAACAAAATAAAGATACCATTTGGTTCAAATTAGAAAAATATGTTTCACTGAAAAAAGGACTGCAGTGATTCACCCTGTCTTATGCAGTAAGCAGCTTTTCATTCTTAAACAACCATGTCAGATGTTTACGGAACCATTTCGCATTAGATGACAATGCCAGAATTTATTGGGCTAAAATTGCGAAAGAGTGGATAACAGAGCGCAAGACATCATTTTCACATATGGATAGGACATCACCGAGCCCAGTTATTAACCCCACTGAGAATCATTGGGATGTGCTGGAGAAGATATCATGCAGTAGTCCAACTCGATGATCTTTCAAACTAGATCTTGAGGGAAAAAAAACATTATCCATCCCTGGGTGAAAATAAATGTTGTGACATTACATGCAGTCATCTTTTCAAAACAATACCAAAACCAATGTTCGTTGAATGAAACTGATTCATGCACTCAAATGAATCAGGTGTTACGGGGTTCCTTAAAACAAAGGTTCTCAACCCAGGACCCCCAGGGGTCCGCGAGAGATGTTTTGGGGGTCCTCCAAAAAATTTCACTAAATTGTTAATTTGATTTTTATTTTAAAAAATGCATGGGGAACAATGAACTAATATAACAAACATAATAAACTAAAGAAAATATATATTCCCATGGCATTTAGGGGTTGAAATGACAGTAAAATTACCCTTTAAAAAGCATGGGGTTTATGATGGGGGGTAAGGGGTCTCCGGACCCAAAATGTTTGAGAACCCCTGCCTTAAAGGGCACATATGCAAAATCCACTTTTTACTCARTAAATACAATTTGTTGTGTACTTGGAGTCTCTAGGAGWGCAAAAGCTGGAGGGGGGCTGGGGTGAAGCGCCTCGTTTGGATTTAAAGAGACAGTGTCAAAATGAGTTTCTTTAAGACACACCTCAGACAAGGGTTGGAAGAGGGGCTTGTGAAGTTACAATAAGGAGGAAATGCAGTTCAACTTTATATAGACCCCAAKTGAATGATTTAAATGTGCAAAAGAAAGATTTAAAAAGCCTGATGTCTCCTTTAAAACGATTTAGATTTATTTTGGGTTAGAGCTAAATTACTTTTTTTATGTAAAAAAAAAAACCTAACAGAGGATGGTTAGACTTTACTAGATGACCTTAATTTCTCACACTGCTGAAAGTCAGATGAGCAGCATTGAAGTCTTGTGGTTTTGATGCACTAATTACAGAAAGTGGTATGCAGCAGGATTATTGTGGGCATTCTGTTATTTTATTTTTTTTATCTTTTCCTAAAGATGGACTCTCAAATATAGACGTGGGGATGCTTCGAGATTAGCAAAYCACTGCTGTTAATTTAAAACACATAACTCCTTTGTGACAACAGACACACAAATTAGCATGCAATTATCCTGTCAACGCAAACACACAGAAAGACAGATCGAGGGAAATATTCACTCATCCCTGTGCATGTTCATTTTAATTAGAAGGAGGTCAGAGACAGCACTACAACACTTCAGTGTGGCCCAAAGCTTTGCAACAATAAGTTTCACTGAGGTGGGTTAAGTGTTTTGAAGCAGAGCATTCTAACGACAGCGAACATCATGGTCTCATTTGTATTCTTTTGTGGCCTTAAACAAAAAACACAAGTCTTAAGTCTTGCAGGTTCCATATGTACTGTATTTCGTTTTGTGAGGTCTCTGCCTCTGCTAAGTCTTGTTCCAGCTGTGCTCAGTACAGGAACTGACTAGAACATGCTCACCAGATGACAGAAATTGAAGGGCTGAATATGCAAAGCCACTGAAAAAAACCAAACCTCACAAACCCCAATTGCAGACGATGTTTGTTGCCCTAATCCCAGGGTCCCACACTGTCTCACAACCCCTCAGTCCAACTGTTACTTTGAAGTTCTGAGGTGGTGATGGGCCTCAAAGGTTCAGTCTGAATTCACCAGTGCGGCACTTTTCCAGTATCACCACAAATTCTGCTGCCTCATCGCCATAAGATGCCAGCCGCACTCAGTCTGATGGAAGCTATTAATGAAAAAATGTCTGTGACTCATCAGCTCACACAACAAGGACACTTCATGATCAGATTAGACTGGTGGTGGTGGAGGGGGGCGGGGGGTAGACTGGTTCGGCTTCTTGATAAAGCTGAGAGCTATTAACATGGTTCAGATGAATCAGCATTTGGTGACCCATAAAACCCGATCTCGAGGAACATTATCCTTGAGGGTTGGTGTAAACAGTAATCTGACAGTTAAGGAATACTTCAGCATATTGAGAAATACTTGTATTCACTTTCCTTCCAAGAGTTGCGTCTGCCAACAGTGGCTTAGTTTTGCATTAACACAGAAACAGCTGCACAGAGACAGTCTGGATTCGCCCATCAGCTTAATAGTTTTTGACTTCCCAAACATGTATATTTTGTCAACAGAGATTAATAATATTGATCTATTTCTCAGCATTTAGACACAACAGAGCATTTCCATAATGTAGCTATAGACATTAACTCTTAAAGACTTAAATCCAAGTAAAGAGTTTACAGTAAGACAGCTCAATGAAAAAATGCAGAACCAGCTGCTTAAATGTTTTTCATGGTAGAGATTCGTAGAGATGCATGATTTTCACCACTCTGTKACAATTTTCTATTGAGCAACAAACACAGCCACTGCCAAGTCTTCATCTCTCTGCAGTCCATTCGTAGGGGGGCAAACTCAAGCACGATGGCGTTTCCGTGGAATCCAACTAGTTTCAAGGTGTACGATTACTGGAGTTTGGGGGACACTACGGTTGACATTCAAGATTGTAAACACTTGTCTCACTCAATTAGCTTCTCGCCCTCCTTTTGAGAGCAGTTAGCATTCTCAGCTGTGAGGAGCAGAACACAGAAGTTCACTAAAGCATTTATGGAGTTGGAACGATGTGTGAGATCTACGATTACACAGGAACTTCTCGGCTCCACATCCTGTCCCATGACTTTCTTTGACAGAACAACTTGCCTCCACTCCTTGGGTGTGAAGCTGTCAAACTTGGCATTAAGGCAGGAGTCAGATGAAAATAACAAGAAACAGACCTAAATCACAGTCAAAAAGTATAGTTTCCACTTTTGTGTTGAAGTACTTCAAGATATTAGAAAAATTTATTGGTTTGCTGTTTTTGATTACTATGACTGTATAATTAGGCTGAAAGCTCATGCAATAGACTATTGAGCACAATTAGGTGATTCTGTAAAAACTGATAATTACCTCTCATTCCACTAATAGGATATAATCATCATTAGGCTTGTTGGCAATGATGTGAAAACAAAAAATAATTACAACCTTCTATCAAAAGAAGGTTTAATGAGGCCAAAACAATTCTGCTTGTAGATTCCGTTTTATCAACAATAAAGTGATTGTTACGGAAACAAACACATTAAACAATGAGGTACCAAAATTCTTGCTTTTTAAGAGCATAAAAGTCTTTTGACATGGGGGAATGTGCTTTGATTGCATAATAGCATTAAGAATGAAGTTTTGTCATATTAATAATACATTATATTCATTTCAGAGGGCTCATTAAATATAAAACAAATTGGTCTATCATTAAATTATAAATGCTTTACTGTTACCCTAAACTACTCAAGAATTAGCTGATTGACCACCATCATACCACAAGGCTAAAGGCGAGAATGGGTATATGGCCATGATATCACAACTACTGTATTTGTGTCCCATAGAATGATTTTTGTTTGTTTGTTTTTAGATTTAATGGACAACCAGATGACAAAAATCTTATTACAATATCAAGTACAATACATGTTTTTCATCTGTCCGTCCATTTTCTTCCACTTATCCGGGGTCAGGTCACAGGGGCAGCAGTCTAAGGAGCGAAACCCAGACTTCCCTCTCCCCAGTCGCTTGGATCAGCTCATCCAGGGGAATCCCAAGGTGTTCCCAGGCCAGCTGAGAAACATAGTCCCTCCAGCATGTCCTGGGTCTTCCTCTGGGCCTCCTCCCAGTGGGATGTGCCCGGAACACCTCACCAGGGAGGCGTCCAGGAGGCATCCTWACCAGATGCCCGAGCCACCTCAATTGGCTCCTCTCGACGTGAAGGAGCAGTGGCTCTACTCTGAATCCCTCCCGGATGACCGAGCTTCTGACCCTATCTCTAAAGTAGAGCCCAGACACCCTGCGAAGGAAACTCATTTCGGTCACTTGTATCTGCAATCTCGTTCTTTCGGTCACTACCCAAAGCTCGTGACCATAGATGAGGGTAGGAACARAGACTGATCAGTAAACCGAGAGCTTTGCCTTCTGGTTCAGTTCTCGCTTCACCATGACAGACRGATACAGCTCTCACATCACTGCAGATGCAGCACCAATCCGTCTGTCGAGCTTCCGCTCCATTCTTCCCTTATTCGTGAACAAGACCCCGAGATAAACTCCTCCACTTGGGGCAGGACCTCCTRCCCGATCCAGAGAAGGCACCCTACCGT